AGTGTTGCTTCCAGAGATGGGGACGTGGCAATCCTAATGAAGCCAAATGCCCAAGCTTTCCTTATGTACTTTGTAGGCGGGTGTTCAGGATGTCGCCACATTGTAGGCCCTTTGATTTTCACGTGGTTTGTATCAATTTACTTTGTTGTTCCCATCGCGGCATGTTTGTTGGAGACTTGTATCCGTAGTGTTTTTGCAGATCCAACTATTCACATTTTCCCACCTGCCCACACCCTGGGTTGAGCTTGTCGCCCAGGTTGGGAGTGCCTAACTTTAGTCGTCGTTTGGTCAGGCAGTGTGGACACACGCCCAGGTGGAAAAAATCGTTCTGCTTTGTGCAATCAGTTCTATCACTAGAATGCATTATACGATCATTGCTTTTAATCTATCCAAATTTGATAGATAGAACATATTTGATTGGGATGATGCAGGCACAAAAAAGAGTTTGCAGGCGAAAATAATTGGACGTTCAAGATTTGATGTTTCGACAGCCTTTTCGTCAAAGGAATGATTGTTTTTTTCACGTGTTTCGTGATGGGACGTCCATGGTTTGGGGTATATGCATGTCATAAAGCAAATATAGAGTATACATGCTTGGGATTGCGCGATTAGGCAGCATCAGCTTGCTGATATATGAATTTTCCGTGTCGAGGTTGCCAATCGATGATTGGTTGCGCAGACAAGCATGAGTTATTGGATTGCATTCGGGTCCTTGTATGCTGTTTCGGGCCTTCGCCATTATAATTTCCCCTTATGGATCCGTCCAGCTCGGTCATTGTCGCGCCAGTTTTTTGCGAAGTTGGCACTGTTGCCGGTCAACCAGATTAAGGATTTTGATTTGAATCGGATGTACATGTCCAATGCATAGAGTTTTGCTGCTGCTGATGTTGTTGTTCCTGTTTAATTCCGGCTCCACCAATTTTATCTGAGCCCAAATAACCAATGTGTTGCAACCATCACAGGTCAGCATAGAATTGCTAGCAACGGTCATGCATACGCCATTGGAGCTCTGAATTTACTTGTGCTTGTGTCTGGTTTGTGTAGATCCAATGGCAAGCCCAGGTGCAGAAACATCACTTTGACATCCGTTTGTTGGAATTTCAACAACTTCATTTAATCTTTGTTCAAGGGTCACCATTCTTATTCGAATCGGCTCAAGTGCAGCTTTCTGTCTCGGCGGGGAGCTGCTAACCTTCGGAGGCCGTGTTGTTTCGGTTCCGTAAGTTGACTGGACATTCAATGTTGGGAAACAAAAAGGAAATTCAATGTCAGTTCAGAGCCCGGAATGAACAGGTATTTCATTGAGCTTGAGGTTGACTTGAAGTGCGCAGTGAAATAGATGCATTCGTTTAATTCCGGTCTTTGTGCACGGAATCGAGGCAAACAAATTCCCACAGTATTCAAACCCGACCTTCATACCATGGGGTGCTCCTTGATGCTATGTGTGCCAGCTGTGCAGGTGCATGCGGTACTATTGGCCGGCGGCTGGCTTGCTGGCAGCTGTTTTTTCGGCCATGAGCCCAGTTTCCACGAAGCCAAGGAGGAAACGTTGTTGGCCGCATTTGCAGAGCTGCAGATCAGCTGCAGATTTTCCGCAAGCTGTCAGCCCAGAGGTCGAAATGCTTGCAACGGCCTTCCTTGCGCCGGTGGGCCCAGCGGGCCAAGCGGCCCCACGCCGCTCAGTGGCCGAGGCTTTGTAAATCTTGCAGTAGACGTTTTCGACAGACGTTTTTGGAAAAACACACTTCAGGAACAATCATGGAGTTGGTGTATGTTGGTGTTTAGATGTCGTCTCGCCCATTGCTGCTCAACCGTTTTCTTGTGGCAATGTGTCATGCGCGGAGATCATGCAGGTCTTTTTTTTAAATGAAATGTTGGCGCGGTATCTTGTAGATTTGATTCTAAGATTGGAGTTGCAAAGTGTAATTGTATGTAGCTATGCTGCTTGATATGTGGATTCAATGCAAGTCAACCATCAAGTAAGTGCAGGCCATGCAGCTCCCTAGCACCGTCAGGGTGACCGAGCCAACCGGGGCGTCAGGCACCTCCGTTGATCCCGTCAGCCACGTCCAAGTTTTGCAGCGTGATCAGGGCGTGTTAGAACTGCTTTGGGGGGTTTTTAGGCTTGCGTGATGTTTCTGCATTTAGCAGCGCTTGATTGGCTGGCTGCTGAAACTTGCGGGATGCACATGTCCTGCACAAATGCAACGAGGTTGGTATGCGATGGCTTCCACAGGCGCCTCACGATTCTTCTAGTGGTCACTGGCCTTTTGAAAACTCTGCATGTCGGTTCATTGCGCAAGCCTAACTCCCAGACTCAGCTGCGAGGCTCTTAAATGTGAGCCTTCGGAAGCTGGCTTACCTGTCAATTATGTTGCAGCTTGCTTGGCGGATGTCGCTTTTGACTGTTGAGCTGAACCGCGATCCTGCCGTTTTCAGAGCGTCTTTTCTAAGAAAGCTTGCCGCAGGAGCCATGGCTGCAGCAGCCATTCTTGGCAGCCGTCAGAGGCCGTGCCCTCCTCCTTTTTTTGGGGGGATGTTGCGGCTTCTTGCGTGTCATGAGCAAAGAATGCAGGCAAAGTAGGCCTTCGTGATGCCTTCGTGATGCTTGGTCCTTTTCCGTTGTTGTCACCTTATAGATTAAGAGTGTCTCCTGGTGGTAATTCTGCGTTTGGGGCCCCTATACTGAGCTGCAACATTTTTTGCCGCCTTTGGCTCAGAGAGTGCCCTTTGAGCCTTTGTAGCTTTTTCTATGGATTTTAAGTTCCATGGCTCTGCTTCACTCAGATTTGAGCAGTTCTGATGCTGTATTCAAGTCCTGGGATCCAAGCTAGATTTGGGACAGCACTGAAACAACCATGCATGTGCTTTGTTGTGCTTTCGCGCTAGAACCTTCACGCAAGCTGTCATTTTCGGGATCCGTATTCCGACAAAGCAATGCCCGCTAACTCTGTTGCCATGGAGCCGCTGCAAGCGTCAGAGGTACATCAGGGGATGTTGGCATGTAGATGCAGAAATCGTGTCCTGTCCTGCACATTTTTTATGGAAGCACAGTTGGCATGTCCTGCAGTATTCGAAGCTGATCCCATGTGCAAGCTCTTCTCAGCAACATGTGCGAAACTGTGGGCAAGAGACGGTTGGTGGCTGTTCTAGCTGCTTTGAGGTTTCGACTTCCCGGTGGCAAGGCCTGGACCCTGAGTTGCGAAGTGCCTTCTTCGCCATGGAGGCCGGGAGATGGGTCCCAGGAAAGGACAGAGCAGATTGGCCGTGTAAAGGCACGTCGGCAGCAGCGGCAAGCCTTCGGCAGGTGGGAGCACATGGAATACCACAAGCATTTCTTTCCATGTAGCGGTTGAAGCGACTCGCGGAGCAGCGTGAAGGCACATTGCTCGCGGTGTGTGGTCTGCATTCTCAGAGGCAAGGCGCGGTTGATCCAGGGAACAGAAAACCCTTAAGAAGCCAAGCCAGGGCTGGACCTGGGCCTTATGTCAGCCTTATGTGACTCACAAATGTATATACAGCCCTTACAGCTGCTCACCGCTGCCCTGCTTTGACGGCAAGGTTGCCATGTTCCTGGGATCCTTGGGCTGCACTGGGACAGGATTTGTTTTGCAGCACTACTTCGGAACTGCCGACCTTGTTTGGCTTCAGTCCATGCTCTGCATCCAGAGGCTTCACGCTCTACGGCCTGGCAAAGGTCCGGTCCAGGCTGCTCGGCCCACCACAGGAGGCAAGCTGAGGGAAGCATGTGTCTGGATAAGATGTTTGCAGTAATCCACATTGGAGGCCAATGTGTAAGATTCAAGGTTGTCGTGAAGGCAACGGCAAGCTGACTGCAGTGAAGGTTCAATGAAGACTCGCAAGTGTCAGGAGCCTGAGAAGCAGGATACAAATAGGAAGCAGTGAAGGTTCTGGTGGTAAATTATTCGCGAACGAGTAGCCATGCCTAGCATCGCAAGCAACATGCGAGATTTCTTTGTAGACGGCTGTGGTTGGTGGGAACTCACCAAGGTTGCTTTGCTTTCAGCTCTCAAGGCACTTGCATTTCATGATCAAAGTGCCAGTTCGCAGTGACAAATATGCAAGGGCGGAATGTTCTTTCCAGGTGGCATCAATATGCCTGTACAGAGGCGGTGTTCACTTACCAAGTCCTACAGGCAGAAGCCATGCCTAATGGCGCCTTAACTCCATCAATATGCATTGTAACGTGGGGACATCAGGTGCGACCCACAGCACTGTGTGCGAGATCGGCTGCAGTATGTAATTACTTTCTGAAGCGGCAAAAAGCTCTGCTGCACAGAATTTGCGCTACCTGGCATTGCCGGTGGTCCTCACGCTGGGCATCACCGGCTTGTCGTTGAACAGGCCAGGACATGCTGCGCGTGTCAAGGCTTCTGGATATGTGGAGCACTCGTCATCTCCTTGTGCAGCTTTGTCTGCAGGTCGCTGAGTGTGCGTGACAACTTGCCACTTCTTTGGGGCAAGACGTGGATAGCGCCTCTTGGCTGCGCGGCTTTTGTATTGTGATTGAGGACTGCAGTTTGGAGCTGCAGCATTTGTTAGTGCGGGCTTGGTTTCAAGCCTGTGAAATGCCCAGTTTGGTCAAACTCTGTGCAATGCTCTACGGCCCTCAAGGCTCCTGGTGGTTTGGGAACTCTGGCTGTACGAGCCGCAGTCGTTGAAATGTCCAGGCCACTGCAAGAAGGGTGGACCATGGGTAGCAAAGGAATTGTGCAAAGTGAGTAGCGGAAGCAAACACTTGCAGCTATTGCGAAGGACCTCTAAAAACCCAAAAGGGGTCTCCCGGCCTGTTCAACGCAGCTCTTGCAGGTCAAGAGAAAGAGCCTACCAGCTGGATGACGACACAGGAACATGTTTGCAGTTCACAGCCCCTTTTCCCACAATTGGTGGACATGCCATTCCAAGTCTCAAGTCCCATGCCTTTTTCAGGGCGTGTCAGCGTAGTGGGAAGTCCGCGTATTGCAATGCAGCAACTGCAGGAGCAGATTGTGCTCGGCGTTTTTCTGAGCCTGGAGGCGGGTGAAGAGTTAAGCCTGTCCACTTTTAGATTTGGGTTTGGGGCATCTGCTTGGATGGGAGCAGATGGGAGCCAAGAGGCTGGCATCTTCAGCTGAGATTTGCGGACCCCACGGCCAAGCAGACATCGGCAAGGACATTTTTTCGATTGCGTGCCTGTGAAGTTTGAGGCGATTACCCTTGTCGCCTGGGCCGTGCAGAAGAGCTATCCATTCCTGGCAGCCTGGCAGGGTTTGGTGGCCATCCTGGCAGAACAGCCCTTCAGTCCTTCATTCGAGAATTAAGGCGCCGAGATCTTTGCTAAACTCAAGACACTGAGCTTGCAAGCCATCAAAGCCTGAGTCTCACACCAAGGCTACGTTCTGCCGCACCCCAGTGGCCCTGCGTCTTTTCTGGAGAGTGCGACCATCAACATACAGGTTTCCTGGAATGACTCTCAAGCCTACATGTTCCAACCAGGCTAGACAGCAGTTATTCCGAAATTTGCAGCACGTTTGCCATCATGCTCGAAGATTTGCTCATCGCATTTGTGTATCTCGCAGCCCTACCAGAAGGGATACACCAGTGAGAGCTCTTTTCCCATGAGCACCTTTTCGTCATGTGCTGCAGGGAAGGTTTCAGCTACCTGCCCAATGGCTGCTGCTGCAGCCTCCGCCGCAAGCATTTCAAGTACAGCGGAGATCAGGTGCGGCTGGAATCGGATCCTGTTTATCCGACTCTTTCTTATTTTGAGTGGAATGCTGCTTTGCCGCTTAAACCTAGCATAGGATGCCCCGCTTCTCTGCATCCTTGTTGCCTCTAGTTCTGCTCTTTCTTCAGATTCTGCAGGACTTCAGCCATCTGCCACATGGCCACGGCATCTGGCAGGATGACTCCTACCACGGCGAGGCACCGTTCTCGATACGAACAAGGATTTCTGGCACAGTCTGTTGGTGAAAAAAACTGGGACAGTGGCCTGAGGAGAAATGGGTCAGTCTTGTCTTCAAAAGCTGGGACCATTCGCATTGACTTTACAGGAAGCAACTTCAAAGCCCTTCCGAGTAAGCCAAAGTGCAGCCACATGTGAGAATACGTGAGATGCTTGAGGTCTACGAGGGCTCATGGTTCCGAGGGCAGCCTGTCGCTCCCTTCATCTCCAGGCGGGAGTAGATCCAAGTTGCAACGGAGGGTTTAAGTTTTGCGAATCTGCTGCACTTGCATTTTTTTTACGTGTCTCGAGCCTTTTCATAGCTCCCTGCAGCTCCAAGAAAGTACTGATAACCATGCGAGTGCCGAGGCAGTCTTGCAGATAACCCCTGCGCCCTGCCCCAGTTTACAGCCGCCATCAAGACAGCAGAGGTGTTTCGGCAGCGGCGCCATCTCGTATGGCCTCAAGGTGGGCTATGGCACAGCGCGTGCCGAGGTGCCGGAGAGAGCAACGACAGCACCGTGTCATGTTTCTTTGACAGCTTCTTTCTTGATGTTTTGCGTCAATCACCGGAGTAAGGCGCTGTTTTCTTGATCGCCTCATTCAATACAAGTGGAAGGTCAAGGGTTTTGGTCATCCCAGCCTTTTTTCAGTAAGATCAGAGGCGGGGACCGGCAAGCCAGGAGGGTTACTTTTCCATGGTAGGTTCATAGATGTACTGCTGGCCAGCATGAAAGCAGCTGGGTTGAGAAGTTGAGAAGGTTTCAAGGCATCTTAACACGCTGCACCAAGAAATCATTACGAAAAGATTAACCCTTGCTCCGGGCAAGCTGAGCGTTAGCAGGAGCTCTCGGAGGTGTACCGCTTGCCACAGCGGGTCTCGCGGCAGCAAATCGACAGATACTTGATCAGAGCTTGCTCAGACCACTTGACACTCTCAACATCTCTCATCTGAGTCTTTCGACAACAGCTTTCGCTTTGGCTCGCTCGGTGTGGAGTGCTCCGCTTCGGGTGCCTTCGTTATCTCAAATAGCCTATTCAGTCTAAGCGAAGCAGATCTGTCCAACCTACAAGCAACCCAAACAAGCTTGAGCAGTGTGTAATGAGTAATGCAGTCAGGCTTTGTCCAAAGCTAGTTCAGGTGGGTAGAGTTTGCGGATGTTTGTGGCTTACGGCCGCTCGGGCCCTTGACCTGGGCGTAGTGTTCTGCAACGCCAGCTTCAAGCCGCAGCCAAAATTTCCCGCAAGCCGCAGTTTAAACAAAATGTAGCTAAGTGAAGCCCCTGCCTTGGCGAGGTGGCTTCCTGGCACACCTGCCGCAGCGAGTTGTCGATCAGCACATGGCTCAGCAAGTCGAAGCTGGCAACTTCTAATCTTCCACCGGGCTAAACACATGCGTCTTGGGGCTCGTGAGTCCGTAAGCAGGAGCAATGCCGTGTCTAAGATGACATGGACACCTTCACAAAGCTTTGAATTGTGGGGGCTTTGAACACACGAGGCACTGCCGCTTTCCGGATGCCGTGGGCCTGGTCGCGTGCCCAAAAAAAGCGCAGCCAAAGCAACCTTCGGCTAGGAGCTTGCTTTGTCAGCGAAACTCCAGAAGCTGCAGCCCAGCTGCTTTCCTTTTCAGTTGTCAGCTTTCTGCCTGTCTCCTTTGCCAGCCCCTGCATGAAGGTCAATGACCTCCGCGTCGCGGCACCACGGCCCCGGCTTTCAGATGCAGACCTCATTATGGGCCCAGGTGTCATCGGATCTGTTTAGCTTTGGTCGAGCTTCGTGGGTAGAACGTGTCGTTTTCAACGTGACGCGTTTCCGTGAGCATTCCTGCAACTCTGCCATCCCATAGCCTTTCTGCTCACAAGTGTTGTCATCTGTCATTTAGGGGTCGTTCGCAATGTTTGCAGGATTTTGTAAGGCTAGACGAGGGGTGGTGGTCTTTCGCTATCAGTTGGACAAGCCCATAAAAGACACGCCGACTAATTCAGGACTTTGAGGGCTTCAGGTAGGCTGGGTGCTAGTTCTTTGAAGAGAACCACGGAAAAAGTGGCATGTCAGTGGCTTTCGAATTACAGGTATCTGAGGCTGAAAGCACTTTTGGAACGCTGCCCTTCAGGTTACAACCACCTGCTCCCATGCTGATTTGAGTATGCCTTCCCCCAATGGAAAAAGCTTGGCAGACTTAGCGGTTCAATCTCAAAGCCTCAAAGCTTTGAGCTTCTTATTTGCGGCTGCCTAATTGTGAGTCGGTCAAAGCCCAACCTTCTCGCCTCGGTGTTTTTCTTTTCGCAAGAGGCGATGAGGTACGCTCAGTACGCTCAGCGGCATCCTTTTGCTCCTGGGCTTTGCTTGGCCTGCTCAGTATTTTTCAATGCTTGATTCTGACCTTCCACACCGATGGTCAGATTTTCCAAATTTTCTAAGCTACAGAGCTTACCGCTGCTTGTGCGTCTCCTCAAATCGGCCCAGGCTCTGACATCTGCGATTCTCAGACGGCCTTTGTCTTTGTCCATGGATACAACTGTCCAACTGCCGCTGGACATTCATCAGGTCAACTGGGATACATGTGCGACAAAGTATGCAAAGCTGGCATTTGAACATGCTGTTATTCTTTGTATAGAGGTCCGCTGCTGGGTTGAGGGTTTCCTTTTTTGGCGTTTCCCTGTCTGCAAATGTAGGAGTCATCTGTACTTCGTCGTGCATGGCAGCTGCAAGTGTGTAGCCGGGCTCCTTTACACACAGGACTGGGCGTGCCTTCGCCTTGGCCAGCTGATGACACTGGGTGTCTCGATATGCCTTGGTGCTTTTTGAGGAGCCTGCCAAATCTCTGTGAAAAGGTGCAGACATGTTCTTTTTGGGTCTTCTGCTGCCTTGGGCCTGAGCAACTGAGGCAAGTTCAATTCGAAGATCTTGCCCTTTGTGTTCTCATGGCCCACAGGCTGGGGACCCCGATGCCAGGAGATGTCATGTCCAGTTTCGTGGATCTTCTTCGAACTCCTCCTTTCAGGCACCATCGCTTCCTTTTTCCACGTGCGTCGACACCTTGACCAGTTTGCTCCCGACCTTGCAGAATTCCTGCACAGGCCATCTTACCAATCTTTGCACACATGGCCGGAAGTCATCTTTCTTTCTCAATGCTGACAGGTTGCACGAAGCCGGCATCCAGGAGTGGGCCTGTCAGCTTGACGTGATTTGCTCATGACTTTCATGATGTATTGTG